GGGGGGGGGGGGAAGGAGGGGAACCGAAACAGAACAACACATCCATGAGGTAAAAACTGAATGACGAAGCGAGTGGTAGATGTCAGAGAATGGGAGAACAGGTAAGGCGTTAGAGAATAGAAAGTTGGGCTATGACTATAATTCCACTACGATAAAACCGAAAACCGTCGACGACCGCGCACCACTGGTGCAGAAAAACTGTTCTTAAGGCTTACTCCTGAACGTATCTGACCGCAATCAGGGCCGGGCCTATACGAATGTGATCGCAATGACGTCCAAGTGCGTATGAGTACAACCCCTTACACCTGAATTCCAAGCAAGAGAGGTATTCTATGACTATGACAAACCTCTACTCTTCGCACGAGAGGTCTTCTTAACACACGTGAACGCTGAGCGCACTACTCGTTCAAAGACGAAATCTTATGCCACACATCAAAAAACATGGGTACACAAGTTTACACATCAAACACGGGTACAATCCACCCTACACGCAACTTTCTTCCTCAGCTCCTAAGTGCGCAAGTCACCAATCACCATCAGCATTACTGCGCTCCTACTGCTGTGACTCAGGTCAGCAACGCGCAACCAAGGACCGCATCGACCAACCAATCAAGAACAAATGCCGCCATTTATGACGATGGACAGAACAACAGAAAAGATACACCCGCAAATGAGCATACCAGCACCGGCAATACCGATAGGGCAAAGACAACACAGCATCAGGCAACCAATCAAGAACAAATGCTGCCATGCCTGACGACGGAAGAAGAATCCGCACAATCACTATGTACTATCTTAATTTCTTTGTTTAACTCTAGTCCGAGCGTACTTAGAAAGGCCGATATACTGTAAGATCACATACTGTATCTCAATTGCGTCAGGAAAAGACACCCACCAACGAGCATTCCGGCATCGGCAATACAAATAGGGCAAAGGCAACACCGCATCAAACAACCACTCAAGAACAAATGCTACAACCAATCAAGAACAAATACTGCCACGTCTGATGAGGAGAGAAGAGACACCCACCAGCAAAGGCGCATCGGCACTACCGATAGGGCAAAGACAACAAAGACAACAACTTACCCGACATGGCGGCGAAAGCGGCAGCACTACTCCTCGCTGGCCGCCCGCCCGCTCACTCGCGCGCGAATCTGACGGTCGGTATGGACTGTTGATCGATCAATCGATCGATGGCTTGAAGGATGGATCGCCACGCGTTGTCCACTCACTCCCTCCTCACTCCCAACCTTGTCACCTCGACATCGCCGCTGATTGACAACGCGATAGCGCTCAACTCCGTAGGGCACCATATCCTACCATTTCAGTATACCGCGCCGGGAAGGCCCTGGCAAGTAGGCCAGATTGTCGGCCTGCGGCAGCCACCTTTCAGCCAGTCGGTCAAAACTCAGGAATAAGGCGCCATCAGCACAATGTCTTTGTTTTAGGTTCGGCAGCAGGTGCGGCAATCTGACCCTGTTAGGGATAGGTAGGGATTGATTTTCGCCACGCAAAGATGACCGTCAGATATCGGCGGCAGACCCAGCAATCTGACGCCTGTTACGAGGCATCGACTTTTGGCACCCAATAATGACCGTCAGATCTTCTTCTTCTCAAGGCCGCGACACACTCCGGGGCAGCCTGGAGCTGAAGCTTCAGTGG